TAGAATCTCCTTTTACAGTGCTTGTGCTCGCTCATGGTGAACGAGATTTTTTTCCTGATGTTTCTCAGCCTGATTTGTGGGATAAGTGATTCAGTTTAATCTTATTCTTTGTTTTTGTGTATGAATACGAAAATGAAGCTTCTCCTTTATATGGTGATATATTAGACCGGTTATTGGAAGGCAATATTTTTGTTATTCTTGGATAAGATTGCTCAATATATTTTTGATTTATGCTTTTATACTTGCATGTAAGAATTTTAGCACTAAATGCCTCGTACCTTTTGAAACTTGGAGGCCATGTCGTTATATCAATCAAGGTGTGTTATTGATTCTCATATAACTTCAAATATGAGTGTCTTCAATTGCAATTGTACTGTTTATCTTACTTTTCATTGATGTTCACATTGAATTTTCAATAAATCTTGACTACATTTTACATATCCTCACTTTATGTTTTATATACCTTAAAAGAGAGGATGCCAACATTACTATTCACATTTAAACCGAGCTTTCACATCAAATGGGTTACATACTGTAGTTGAACTAGTTTTACCTTATTTACTCAAAAGAGGCTTAATTATTTTTACTGGTCATGCAGACAAATGAAATTAATGTGGCTGCTTTATTGCTTCTATTGTTGACTTGCGCAAACTATTTGTCTAAAAATTTGACTTATGTGCTATCTTGTGGTGAAAGAAAAGCAAGAGCAAGAGAAGACGAGAAAGAGAAGGAAATCGGAGATCACATGGAGCTAGCTACCCCCCTTCAAGTTTATCCTCTTTTTCTTTCTTCTACATCAGAGGTATTTTCTTGTTTCACAAAGAAAAAACAATAGTAGAATGTAAAGGGCATTTTGCTTTCTCTCTTTTCATTCACACCTTCTCTTCATTGAACTTCTCTTCAGTCTTCTCTCTCAATTTTCCAGTATGGCTTACGTTCCTCTAATTGAACTATCTAGGTTTTTATTATTAGGTTTTTGTAGTACGTATATTTTGGTTTTTTATTTATAGTAACTTGTAAAATTTGTAAAAAGTTGTTGATTTTTGAGCTATCTTTGTGTTGTTTATGAATATTATTTTTTCCTTTTAAAGTATATCTTCGGTCATTGTTCACAAATTTGATATTGTAAACTTTAGTTTTATTGTACGTATGTTTTAACATATGTAAGATTATTTCTTTCTAATACTTTTACTTTTTACAGCTACAATTGGGGTTCAACTATTCTATAAAAAATGTTAGTTTTGTGATGGATATTTTTGTACTATCTGGTGATGGAGATGTTGATTTAGCTAACCTTCAAGCTACCTCTCAAACTACCAACATATTCGTCAACAACATAATCAAAGAGAAAGCGATCAGTACAATCGATTGGTGAGCGCAATGATCTTTGAAGAGGAATAGTACGTATGTCATATGGAGAGAATAACTTCCGTTTTGTTGAAATGTATGAATCTACCATACATCATGATTCTGAAACTTCAACGTCAAACCAAAGAACAGTTGATGGTCTCAATTCTGAATTAGAAGAAAGTTCGAACCTATTGAATGTACCAAGTATTTCATATGTATCACCAACATGTATTGATAGTAAATATTGTGGTGCTCGAAAATTTTTTAAAGAAAGTAAAGACTTCTGTTGTTTTGAAGGAAAAGTTAAGCTTTTTATTTCGAAAAGATGGGGTTTAGTAACACCAAGTTTCTTTTTTTCTGTTTAGATTAAAGTAGATGAAGAATGTATTTTATTTATTTGATACTACAGACAAGTTGTAACTTGAACTTAGCAAAATGTTTCTCTTTAACAACTTCAATTGTATCAGAAAACCATTAGTTTGGAGAGAATATATTTTTTCATAATTTATTTATTTGTTTAATATTGTTATGTAAATGGTTTGCCGCTCCAAAACCCGGGGGTCAAGGGGGCAACGTCCCCAAAAGAGAATCCTGATTTCCGTATATGTGTTAAAGAGTTGTGTCTGTTGGAAGTTAACAGTTTTTTCTCCAACATACACACCAATTTATAAGCATAATGTATATTAATAATATAATTTATTTATAAGTAAATTTAACTTGAATTTCAACCTACTTTAATATAAATACAAACAGTACATAGCACACATGGTGGTGAGTTAAAAAATAAATAAATAAAACAACAACAAAAAAAAGTTGTAGTCCGCGCAGCACGGACATTGGTCTTCACACACAGGAGTCTACATGCAGTGCGGACACCTGGTGGAGATTACTAGCTAGAACAACCAAATCAACTGCGAAAATGGTGATTTGGAGATTACTGCGGGCTTTCCAAGCAATTACGATCATTGCTGCCATTAATGTCCCTCTCTACGTGTTGCTGCTTTTCAAAGACTGGATCGACAAATGATCTTTGACTAGCAGGTTTTGAGCCATTGATCTAAAGTACACATTTCTTGGCGAGTATAAGAGGTTTTTGACTTGCATAGTGTGGAAGAAAAATTATCCATCTTCCTGGACTAGCTAAAGCAGTGGTTGCATTACAAGATTTCGCAAGAACAAATTTGAATATCTGAGGTCTTAATTGCTCTGTGACATGGACGAGACATTTCTATTGACCTGACCATCTTTGTAAGGTTTATATTACTTGGAATTTGGTCTGGAACAGTTGTATACCTTGTCGTTTAGTTTTACTCGTGCAGGGAAATTAAAGATGAGTCCTCAACTTTTATCAAAATGTAGCACTTGAATCTGAATTCAAATTTTTGAGGCCTTTAGTCCCCAACTTTTGGGGAATTAGAAACATAATTTCCCCACTAGATAGTCGTGGTCTAGCCACGAGCCTAGATGTCTAAATCCCAAGCTTGTCTCAACTCTCCTTGGAAGGCAAGTCAGTCATGACCCAGCCCCTAATGAAATTTCTCGAACTGGGTTGTCCTAAGCTTGGCCAACTCGGCCTTTTTGATGTGGAAGTTCGTGAATCTGGCACATCTAGCACATGTCATCTTTGTTGAAGGGACCAGCTCACCTTTAACTAAGAAATAAAAGAAAAAGGATAAGGAAAAATGAACCACTAAAGAATATTTAACTATTTATGGGGTAATTGTAATTATTAATTTTTTTTTTTTTTTGAAAAGGCGTAATTCCATAATTGTAATTAGACTCAATATAGGATAATTATATGGATACCATAGTTTTAACAGTTGAGCCATAATTTAATTGTATTTAAGGTCCTCAATCTTTGCACATTGTACCGCTTTTGTTTATAACATCAATTAATTATTTGACCATATTGACCACTTATTTGACCATCATATTTTAAAAAAATATTAAGTGGCTGTCTGTTGCGAATTGTTTCATTCAAATAATTGCTTTTTGGACCCTTTTTTTCACCAAGTGGGTCCCACTGTGAGAGAGGTAGTCAAATGTTGTGACTCCTTTCTCTTTCAACAGTTGGAAAAGCAATTAAAATTAGGAAGAGAAGTGCAGCGAGACAGCCCCTAAATCTAAAAAAGCAATAAAATATTTTTTTTCTCAATTCAAAGCACGCAAATATAATATTTCTAGAAATAATTATCAATAACGAAATGTGTTAATTAATGGAGGGTTGAAGATTAATATTAATGATTTCTTCTTTTTCCTTGACAATCTTTTCTCTTTTATTTGAACCAACAATAGATTCGAAATTTCTTCTTCTTGTTGTTTTCTCTTTTTGTGGATATAACTCAGCAGCATTACTTTCTAACACTAAAATAACTTCGAAGTAGAATAAAAATAGCTGACTCTTGAATAAATAGTAAAAGTAGAGTGGAAGTTGGGAGAATATAATCTTATTCACGTTGTCAATTGTGATTTTGCAAAGTGGTCGAGTTGTAATGTCTGGACAACATTTACAGAGCTTAATGCTGCTGACAAAGCTGGTTTGCCCATCTTAGGACATTAAAATTGCACTTATCAAATAATTAATTCCATGATGACAAGATTCCTATCAAGAAATATTAGTTTTTAACCATTACCAAATAAACTTGTTAATGTTTTGCTTTTTCTCTCAATTTCACAAACCGACCAAACTAGGTACGATGTTACTAATTTTCCATCTATTAAGATTTATGGGTTTATTTTTAATATGAATTTACATGATTTAATATGTACTCATAATAATTTAAAACTTATGTCGCCTGCAGTAGAAAGCAGAAAGCAAAAAAAAAAAAAATTTACGACAAAGAAAATTTTGCTTAATGCACCAAATTACATAAATATTCTTGTATGTGTTTTAATTAATTTTCAGTATTAACTCAATCATAAACTCGAAAAACGTACTCAAAGAAACACGTACTCAAAATCAATATTGGTACAAGAACAAATTAACTATTGGCAATGATAAATCCAGATCATCAATAGAAAAAAAATTCATAAGTAAGAAAAATTCTTTTATTAGAGAGGAGTGTAACCGTCACCCTTTTATTTTGGTACATTACACAAGTACATATCATAACATTATGGAAATACATCAATATTAAGAAAAACCCCCCAGTTTTTTCATCTTATTCCTGCTCACTCAAAGCATTTAAATGGAGGGAAGATAACAAAGAGTAATTAACACATACATGCTGATAAACATACAATTACAGAGCCCTTTCCACTGTATATAGGGTTAATTGTTTGCCACCAATTTATATCTTAATCACTTCAGTTCCATCTTCGATCTCCCATCTCAGCCCCGGTTTGTTAAAAAAGCTTCGTCTAGTAGCCCAAAAAAATGGTCTCTCCTGTAAAAAAAACAACCCTAATGGCATTTCACCAGTAAGGTTTAAAAACTGCTGCAAATGGCATGTTCAGAAGAGACCAATATTTTGAACAGCTAAAAAGAAACCCTATATAAAGACAAATCGGACCAATCTAGCAATTAATTCAATCGCTGTAGGAGCCTTATTTTGTAGTGAGGCAATTTTTTGGACTATAACAGAAAGAAAAAGAAAATAGGGATATAGATATAGTTATGAGACGTATGTAGGTATAGGTGGTTTTAGGATTTAATCATCATCTTGAATGTAGGAGCAGAGAAGCATGGTGGCGCAGCGTCGGAGAATATAAATCCGGGCTCTTTGTTCTTTAACCAGAGAAGCACATTTTCTTGTAAACCTAGTGCTTTTCCTCTTTGAAGGAGTGTAGATTGCAGCATTCTTGTATAGTTGCTTCATCTCAGCCATTGGTGAATGATCTTGATGTCTCAGGAATGGTTTAAGAGCTAAGATATTCAACTTGAAGAGAAAAAAAGCCCACCGAATGGAGCTAGACCCTTGAGGAAGACGAGACACGGGGTACCATATATATAGACACATCGCGTGTATAAAATATGTTGAAAACTAAGTTTAAAAAAACAAAAGAAAAAAAGAGTTACCATTTTTCACTAAAACAAATAATTGTCTTGAACTCAAGTCTCATGCATGGTACTTCACTAATTTAAAAAATTGTGTACTTATTTTATCTTTGTTAAAAAAATTGGATACCCTTTTGGACAAGTTCAATATTAAATTTAATTAAAGTTTTAAATGAAGCGATTTAAGATGAATCGGTGTTAATGGTAAATTTCACATTGAATAGAAATAATAAATAAATAATATATTTGAACTAGTTATTAATTCATTTTTAGTTGTAAGTAATAGAGTTTATTAATTTCAAATAAGTAATTTGATCCATTTAAAACTCACACATGCAATTGGACATGTTCTTAATATGATTAGTCATTTAAATAAAAAAATGTGTGTGTAATGATTCTGATTAAAAATCGTGTTCCATTATTTCATTTACATGTTTAAGATTAAGCGTTTATTATTTTAACATTATAAATTTTAAACAAAAATGTTAAACAAGTGAAGTTGACTAGGTTTTGAGGCAAGAAGGGGAATGAACAATGAACGTGGTCAGGTTCGAAAACTGAGGGATCTGCATGGGAAAACGTAGCATGGCAGCAATTTTTTGGTAAGAAGAAAGAGGGGTGAACGTGGGCATGGATTTATTTTGAATATTTTACAGTATAGTGAATTGGGATTGAAGGGATTATTGTCTGAGGTGTTACATTTGTATTGTACTGTATATTAGTTTGCAAGTAGATTATAAAAAATAATTAGATTAGGCTTAAGATGGGGAAAGTTGCTTAATGAAGACACGGCAAAATAAGTGAAATAAGAAGTGGGTGTCGGCCGGCCGGCCAAATAGAAATTGCTTCGGTTATGGCTCGGAATACCAAGCACCTCTCTGTCTAATGCAATGTTTAAGCATGTTTGGTTAAACTTAGAAAAACATAAAAATTACTTTTAAGTTTTAAGTAACTTAATTTTTTTTTTAAGAAGGGAGAGTTTTTTTTTCTTTTCTTTTAAACTTACTTATAAGTACATCTTTATGCTTAGCAAAACATGCTCTTAAAAAGTAAGTTATTTTTAACCATTTAGTTTTATTAACTAAGAAAAAATAAATATGTACTTTAAAACTAATTCTTACCCTTACTGCTTATTTTTAACTTCGATGAGCAAAAGGAATATTTAGTTAAATTATGGTGAAGTACCTGAAAATGGATGACCGAAGGAGTGACCAACCCTCCCATTGCGCCTGGGTCCTAAGTGAATAAAATAATGTTCGACCCCTGAGGTGTGTATGTTCGGTCATCTCTTATGTCATCACCGGCAATAATCAAGGATTTTCTTGTAAGGAAACATTGAAATTGTCGGTGACTAGCTGGTCTCAGTTAAAGCATCTCCAATAGTAGTATAAAATAGATTTAAATTTACGTTTTTTTTACATATACAAAACAAAAAGTGAATTTAGATATTTTCATTGGAGCGAAATTTGAATTTAGATCCGTCGTGATGTAAATGAAAATGTAAAAAAGATTTTAAAAATACCAGTTTACACGACGATTGGAAATACTTTTATCACCAACTTTGTGACAAGTTTGTTGAGCAGTTTATAAATATTTTTAATCAAATCATTTCATAATTTTTATCAACACATTTCGTGAAATTCACAAGTATTATTTACTTATTTATCACTAATTTTAATTCGTTTATAATTTAAATTGATTATAATCAATTTCCAAACATGTATGTGATACTCTTTTGTTGAGTGAAATTCTTCGTCTCTAAATGTAGATTTCGATGAATTACCAACTCATATAAATTTCTTCCACTCGTCTATATATATATATATAAAGTGATAACTTTATTTATTTATATGCATATGTTTGCAAAAGTCTACGAAATATTTGTTTACACAACACTTCAAAAATAGTCTCCCTCGATAGTCATAGACGTAATCTTTTATTTTAATTTTTAGCTTAGCATACATTGAACCTAAAATCAAGAAGACCTATTAATTAAACGACTGAACTGTAGATCTTCAATTAAAATCCGTGAAAGCATCCAAATTATAAGATTAAAATTCAGTCATGTGAGTATTGAGATTATGGTATCTTTTCATTCAGTCACGTTTAATTTTAAATCCGCTCAGACAACCTCAACCTCAATCTCAATAGATTTAGTTGTTCAACTCTTTGAAACTAATCAATCATCATCAGAATCTACATTTGATCATCGAAATATTGAGATACCTACAGCTGTAAACCCAATCTTCGTTATAACTTTATATATATGGGATTTTTTTTTTCATCTTTCTTTTGCTTACACCTTAAGAATGAATGTTAGAATAGTTGGTTGATGAAAAATGTGTGGTTAAAGAATAAGAAAATCTTTTATGTCTACGTGTAATACTATTTTATTGAAAAATGTTTGATTGAAAAGATGAGATAAAAAAATGTATTTTGGAAATAATGGGGATCAATTGGACAATAATATTCTTTTAGGGTCCGTTTGATTCAAATATGAAATTTGGGTCGAAAGAAAACGAATTGCAGGAATTGAATTACCTGAAACTTGTTTTATTGGGAATTAATTGTGTTTGATTAATATAATTTTCCACCTGAAAAATGTTGAAATTTTCTATCTTTTGGCAATAGCTTTATTTTTCATGAAAATTGTCAATTAAAGGGATATAATTTCTTACAACTAGGAATATAATTTGTTTGGATTGTTAAAAATAAATAAATTGGAAAAATTTTTGTGTTCGTTTGGCTTTATTTTACATGAAAATTGTCAATTAAAAGGATAAAAGAAAATGTGGAAAATCAATCCTTAGAAAAAAAGTGTCATCAAACATGGCAAAAGTGGAAAATGAAATTTCAATTCCATTTTCCATGGAAAAAACAGGCCTTTAAGGTAACGTAAGATTGCTGACTAATTGCCGCATCCAGCAATCATGTTAGGCTAAGCTTAAAAAGTTGGAATTATGCATGAACAAGTATTGACAATAATCTATATAATATACAATGGATTGAGTGAAGAAATTGAAAAGCTTGAAGCACCAATCCTCTTGAAAGTTCATTTTCTTTTGTGATACGTCCAAATTAATTAGAAGAAAGAGTTTCGATAGGTTGACGGCCGTATATGATACAAATTTTATATAAAAATGTTCTCGTTGAAAATAAAATTTAAATGAATATTCTGTTCTTTCATCATTCACAGACTATTTATGATATTTTCTCTACGTACCAAAGCTACATTTCCTGATGAGGGGAGACCAAAATATTTCATGCATTGCAAATAAAGGCATTAGGGATAAAAATTAGATGGAAGGAATTAAGAATTTGTTCACTGTTTTGTATAATTTTGTCCAGTCATGCGCAAAACAAACATGTACTTAAGCCTCCAATAGTGTTGCAGAAGCTATCTCATCAGATCCCCTAACGAGCTCTTTTTCTCATCCTCAATAGAACGCTAATATTAGTAACCGTTCAAACTTATTTCAACTTTGTCATCGAATTAATCTTAGTTCAAATGATCAATACGTCTTTTTGTTTGTTGAAGTAACGAAAATGCTAATGCGCTGCTGGTGGTGCTTAAAAGTACAACTAATCCAACTCGACATGTTCTTATCATATTTTCGATTAATCATATCATCATTTCCAGTAATTGAGTAAATCGAATGCTTGAGTTTAGTTATTTATTAAAAACTATATTTTATTTAAATGTAAACTTGGAGCAATTGAAGCAGCTCCTTGTGGTCCAGATTTATAGACTGAACAGTGATCAAATAGACAGAATCAAGAGATACTGTAAAATATTTCATTTCACGTACAGGCAAAGCAAATGAAACAATTTCCGTAGTAAAAAATTTACATTTTCGCCTAAACACTATCTCGAAGAATCATCAAGTAAATCCTCTTAATCTTGAAAGATACTGAGAATGAACAATTGGGAAAATATTGGATTCTACCAGTTGGAAGCTGGAACCTATAAGCCTTCTTTTGCAATAATTTTGGTAACATTAAGATAAGACATTCCCACCAGTCTTACTTAGGACCCTAGGAGCACTTCGGGAGGGTCTCAACTAATAACTACTCAATATCTCAATTCAAATGGAGGCGAGGTGGTGAAAATAAGGAGAAAATTTCAAGTAGTAGATCTCAATTATATAATACAAATATCAATTAAATAGTGACAAGGAGTACTAAGTAATCTATACTCCGGAAATAATGAAAGATCTTTTACTAGAATGGCAAACCAATATGTGGCAGTTTTGTTGGAAGTTTAATCGAAGATTTGCTACTTTAGTAGATTATCATCTTCATATTTCTTTGATTCACACAGTATGTATACGGTCTGCATGGCTTTCGTCCATCTTTAGAAGATTTTTCTATACAATTGAATAACTAAATCCCGAATTTCAATTTCAAAAAGTTAAACAAGGCTTGCCTCGGCCAACTTCTTGTGTTCTATTGCAGCCAATAACTCATAATCCTGCAAAGTGTTTAAAGAGATTGAAGTTTGGATATAAGATTCGTTTGACTAATGTATGCATCTGAGAGAAACATCACCTGCACAATGGCTTGTGCACAAAGCTTTCCCGATAGAACAGCACCTTCCATCGAAGCCAAGTACTTTTGCTTTGTGTAATCACCGGCTAAATAGAATCCTTCTATAGGAGATCTTTGTAAGGGACGGCAAGGTTCAGAGCCAGGTACAGTTTTATAGACAGACCTAGAGGAGAGAAGCTCAGTCTGAATTCAATGAACGGGTAGTACTGAACATGATAGCATGATGAGCAGGATTTTAGTTTCTCGTTTCTCTTAATATTGTCCAATGTTATGCAATCCTCCGTACAAAATATACCATAGTGCATGTTTGGTTTGCTAATTAGAAGACAAGATTCGACTAGATTATGAACAAGATTTTAGTTTCTTTTTCCTCCTTAATACTGTCCAGTTATGTCCACTTGTATCTGTTCCTCCTGACCAAAATTTAATGTTGTAACTGATGAGTAAAATCCAAGTTATGAAACAACAAAACAGTGAAACAGTTTCATGTGGAGAGTTGAATGCTGTCATCATCAGCTAGTGCATGACCATATTCACATGAAAGATAAAGATCTCATCATCTACCAGTAAAAGGCTAAAGCAAGAGATTGCTACCGTAAGTATCGATTCATGTCTAACCTTGGAGTTTTAACAACATGGTACTTCACTATTTTTGCTTTGGTTTGGTCTGCAGAAATTTCATCGGGAAAGAGTTTTGCAAGTTCTTTCATTGTGGCATCGATTATTTCTGTGTCACTACGAGAGATCCATTCTTCTGCAGGTGCAAAAACCAATTCCAGCATAGATTTATTAGGATCGTAGTACTCCTGTAAGAACATTTGGGCAACCATACAAGTATAGTTAACGAAATCCGAGTAGGAACAAAGACAACGTATAATTGTCCCTTACGAGATCAAATATAAATAGAAGATTATTGTGTGAAGTAAGCCCTCGTAAAAATATCAACTGGGAAAGCTCACTATTATTTCATTCATACTTATGAGAAAAAACCTTAAATCTACGGCATTTGCATTACACAACCATGGCAATTACAAAACTAATTATAAAGATTGAGCCAGTATAAAAATTGTAAAAAATACGATAATATGCTGTTAGTACCTTACAAGTTACAGACATGTCAGCATATACACTGAGAAGTGAACTCCTGCTTTAAATGAAAAAAAAAATGAAGTTAATATCAGAATCAGGCAGAAAAGGTATTACACAACTAGATGAAAATAATTCAATTCAGGATTTGATGAAATGTGTTCTTTTAGCCTTAAATACCACAGAGAGCATAAACATCAGCAAATAAATAAGAATTTGTGGGACGTTTAATTATAATTTATACATGTAATTGTAATTTTAGCTTCTTCTTTTCCTTTATAATGTCTACTGCTATACTTCGTCCCTATTAAACATGCCATAAGTGTATTAGTTCTTCTCATTAAGCCCCAGTTTGATTGCCATTATTTTGAAAAAAATGGAGTTTTGAATGATTTTTTTGGAGAATGTAAAGTTAAAAAGTAGAGAAAAGTTTTGGGTTTACGTACAAAATATTTTATTGTGTAAATATATGGTTGAAAATGAGTATGAGAATTAAAGAGTTTTGAAATAATGGTTGTCAAATAGGGGCTAAATTCTCACAGAAAATGAAAATGGATAAGTAAAAAAGATTGAAGGTATCGTAAACTTAATATTGTAGGTAACTACAGAATTGAAGGCGGCTATCCTAAAAGAAATTATGGAATAAATTAAAAAGATTGAACACATAATGATATGGCAACTTACAGACAACACTTGTGCAAAAACTTAAAAAAAAAGAAGAAGAAGAAGAACCAGTAGGTTTATAATCAGTGAAATATGAAAAGCCATGTGTATCTGCTATGCTACATTAAGTATGCAATTGAAATAGTAATATAATTTAGTAGAACTGAATGTTTATGACAACGACCTGCTGAAGAGTAGATGATCATACGTGTTTTTCAATTTTCTGTCAAACCTGCAATTAAGATGCAAACCTTAAAATCGAATGAATAAAAAAATCCAAATATCAACGAAGAAGGCAAGTTAGTCCTAGCTTGCATGAGATAATGACTATAGTTTTATGAGTATATTCTACATTACTCAGTCAGATCATTGTAGGCAAAGAAAATAACCGTCAAATAAAATGAAAAAAAGACCCAAAACTTACCATATGTGAACATTTATAACTGGAACTCCAACTAATTTATCCAATTTTTGGAAATATTGAATCTCTTTCCAGTCCTCAGGCAGAAGGAGCTTGAGGATATCAACTGATAGGAATACAGCAAATTAGCAATCGCGGAAAAATTTAGACTAAAAAATCAATATATGAGTTGTTATAGAAATTAATAATGTACCAGGGGTTGCAAATACATAAGCATCTCCTTCAACCGTACTCCCATTATTTAGCACAAAATTCCTGACGCTACCTTCTTTATTTAGCTCAATCTTTTGTATTCGTGAATTAAGCTGGACTTCGCCACCTTTTGAAGTAATATGGTCAACAATTGGCATGCAAAGTCTTTCTGGAGGGTTACCATCCAAAAAAGCCATCTTTGAACCATGCTTCTCCTGTAGATTTTTATTGAAATATTATGGAGAGCTCATCATGAATGGTACTCTTATACAAATTGATCATTTGAAGAACCAAAGTAAATAATGCAGCAAAGTAATTTTCCTATTGATTAGATATAGCATGTTAGAGATGCTACAATCATTAAACTCAGTTGTTCGGTGTTCTAAAAACAAGACTGAATGATCAAGCCAAATAATAGTCAATATGAGAAGTGTACATATAGCACCCAGCGACGTACTGCGCAAAGTTCATAATTGGGTCTTGCTTCTTCAATCACACAATGTACATATTTACTAAGGATATCAACAACGCCGTAGGAGAGACGAGCCCATTTACCTGAAGAAATCGATTCAAAGCAATTAAAATGCACTGCATTGAAAGTTCATCCGGGTTAATGAAGTTCAGAGCCTTAGACATGGCAATAAACACCTCATCAGTAACTCGATCTGGAATACCCTGAAACGGATTAAATGTATTAATTCGTCAGGACAAAACTGGAAAATAATAGCTATAAACACAAAAAATAAATAAATAAATAAAATAGCAATGGTCAAGTGATACTCGTGCAACTCTATTGTAAAGAAAAATTGAGAAAATCTAGCAATATTCAGGTCTCGTCAACCAATGCAACTCTACATACTTGCTTTCTCATCCAGTCTTTAACAGTTATACCATCTTGAGCCTCCACATAAGATTGTCCACCAATTATTGCTGGCAAGAGTCCAATAGCGAACTTGACTTTCTCTGGCCAAGTAAGCATTTCAGTGTTCTTCAGGATTGCCCATATTCCTGCCAATATAAAATTTAAAACAAAGGAAAAAATAGAGTAGAAAAATGTCTGTACATCTCATGAATGGATAGCTGCTGGCCCTTATGCGAGGAATAAGTGAAAACCCATCGTGCGTTTCGTCTCAAATATTAAAAGTATAATTGTATGAAAGTAACTAGAGGTTTTTCTCATTTCAGTTACTTAGCTTCTCCAATGATAACGATAAACAACTCACCATTTAATGGTGCAGGTAAGACTTCAGGAAAATCAAATCGGCTAAACTCCCCCGGCTTGTTTGGCATTGCAAATATCATAGAATGCTCCTTCCACTGTAGCCGATCATTAATGCCTAGCTCTCCAAATAGGTTCTGCACATTTGGGTAAGCCCCAACTTAAAGAGAATAAATAATCAAATTGACAAGTCATTTGATGCATAATATAAGGTATTTAAAGTTGCAACTGAGTTCTCAAACTTACAAAATATGTGTAATCCAGTCTCATACCAGTCTCCATCATCATCTTTCCATGCAGCCACCTGGACAACGAGGGGCGAGTTCACAGAAGAAACATATTAAACATAAAAATATAGTTTTGAGAAGAACATATGCAAGGGAGCATTTATAAACCTTTCCACCCAGGACATCCCTTCCTTCCAACAATATCGGTTTATGACCTGCATCTGCCAAATACTTTGCAGTAGACAAACCAGCCAAACCTGCAAGCATCCAGTAGTTCAATTCAGCGCACTCGGTGAATGATTTCATTAGATAAAACTTTTGACTGAATTCCGTGTAGTATATAAAATAGTTTCTCACTATATATCCAAAAAATAATTTGTAAGGAAAAAATATAAGAACAAAACGTGAACTGTAGAATTCAATTGGGAAGTGTGGGTCCTCGAGATAAATAATTATAAATTACATTCTAAAGTTCTAACTAAGCTCAACAGTCAACACCAAATTGCGCAAAGCACTAACAGCTAACTAAATTTTATCACAGTGCATAAGAATATGCAAATTCACTGGAATTATAATCTCTGTCCTAAAGAAACACAAAAGGAATAAATGACTAAAAGATAAAGAGAACATGATATTCCCACCTGCACCAGCAATGACTATCTTTAATGATTTGGTTGGACGTGGAGAATTACGAAACGATGAGGATAAATAAGCAGCTTCCAAATAATTGACTGTATTCTCAATTTCCGGTCTTGGATAGTCAATGCAAACAACCTATATAATAAACAAAAAATCAATGTGTTTCTTCGTTCATTAAAATTTCAGAAATTCCCTAATCAATTAAGATTTCTTTGGAGCCAGACCTTCAAAGGGGACATATCTTTTCTTCTTGAATCCATCATCAAAGCATGTGCAGACGGTCTCTTTAATTTATGACCCATAGCATCACTACTTGCAAATGATAGGGTATTCATTTTCCGGTCAAGACAGCAGCATCTCCAAGACTGAGGGCTCCAAGGATTACTTAAGTTATTTTGCCCTCTCAAATTAACAGCAGAAACATGTCCAAATTGGGACATTTCGAAAATTCAAGATTCCTTACAACAATGTTTATGAATTAAACAAGCTCAAAAATTGCAGCCCTGCAACTATAAATGTGTCATAGTTTAAAAATGTATCCATATCAAGAATCCTAAAAGCAAATAATTTGCATATATACTTAAATTTAGACAACAACATGGAATCCTAAAATTTTAAACCTTTCAGAATTCTACCTCAAAAAGTCCAAATATTTTATTTTGTTTATACATGAACTCCAGAATTGCGAAGCGAAACTCGAATCGAAGAACCCATAGACAGAAAATTAAAAGGCAGTAGCTTTTCAACAACCTTCAGAACCCACTATCAATTAACTTCAAATTAATCTTTTCTCTATACAATCCCAACTCAAGATTTTACTTTTTCTAACAAAACCAGCTCATCGCCAAATATTTTTGAAAATAGGCGATGCGAATTCTGTAAAATTAGAGAATTTTACCTTCCGGGTAAATCAAAAGGAGGTGACACTCAACCGAGCTCTTAATTCAGCAACTGAAAAGGTAAAATTGAACAGGGCATTTTCAAGAAAGATAATTGGCAGAGTTTACAAGCACTAAGTTACGGTGGCGTGGCATCTTAAGAGCCAAGATGACAGGGTTTGGTGGGGTAGGGTGCGAGTTGTAAATGGTCTGTTGGTTTGGCCGCATTCGTAGTTACGCAATTGTTTGCTGTAGGTAAGAATATGCCATCCATTCGTCCACTCTATTAGCTTCCAAAAATTGACACACTCTATGAATACGGATATAAAACTTGAATAAAATGTGAATCGGGTCTAATACAACATAAGTTGAAGTTAGTAGAGTTTTATTTTTAGTAAAATTGAAGGCATGGAGATGTTTATGGCAAAATATTCATACTCCTTGTCTTTACAAACCATAAAAGTAAGGATGATGCGCAAATTTTAGTAGTTTCATAGATATAACGAAGTAGTTATGTTAAGTTGGAGCCTTTCAAAACAAGAAAAAATGAACCGAGGTATTAACATGATGAGACTTATTTGGTTTAAATTATAATTTGATTTTGATTCAGTTTGGGTTTGAAACCAACCTTGATGTTTGACGATAGTGGAGCCTATACTTTACGAATAATGATTAATTGTGTTGGTTTCATGATCACCGATTGTACCATGTGTGTTCGCTTCTACCTAAATTGATGGATCATCATTTCATCTTACAAGCCAAACTCGACATTTTTAAAGTTTGGGGAAAATTCACATCTCAAGTATTACAATGGACCAATTCAATTTTCAGATATTACAATTTCAAAATTCAGGTAATAAATAAATAATTTAAAATCTTTTATTAATTAAATATATTGAGGTTACAATTATACAATAAATGGTCACAATTATGTACTTATAGATCACAACTTATTTAATGATCACATATTATCAAATTAATTGGTTATAAATTATTTCTTGATCACAAATCAAAAAAATTATAGATCACAAATAAAAAAATTTATAAATCACAACTTATTTAGTGGTCACAATTTATCAAATTAGTTATTAAAAAATTATCAAAATTTTAGGCCACAATTAAATAGTTGATCATAAATTAACTAAATAGCTAGTCACGAATACTGATAGCCCATTCTCATCCCCACCATTGACACCAATACTTGGTCACAAATTAACCAAATAGTTGGTCATACACACATCTAAATAGTTGATCACAAATACTCTTCGTCACACTCCCACCTTTATCCCACCACCCACACAATAGTCGGTCACGAACATTGTTCATCCCACTCTTACCCTAATTCCACCACCGACACCAATAGTTGGTCACAATACTTCAAATAATCGGTCACAAAACTCTTCAACCCATCCTATATCAACCGCACACCTGACCACCAACTGCAAAACCGTCACCACCACTGCACAACACAACCACCACAAAAAGACTACAACCACCACAACAAACCACAAAAACAGGAGCCCCAATGCCGTTGTGCACGACTCTGCAAGAACCCAATGCAGCAAACACCTATTGTGCGAACCCAGTGAAGTAGCAACATCTATCGCTGATCAAACACAGTAGATCTAAATTTGACTAACTCACCTACAACGACTATGCAAGCACAATATATCTGAATGTGACTCGGCATCTTCTCTGCACAGTGTGGCCTATCCACATCACAATTGCTAAGTGCAACCTCTCTACATAACGCCAGCATTCACAACACCACTGTCTTCGGTCGATTTGTGGTCTTCGACAGTGGCGCTCTTCAATGTCGACGACAAGTCCACTTGAAGTTTTTTCCAGGCCTACCATGATCCTTGGCGTCCGTCTTTAATTCAAGGGAACAATACATAAATAAGGTATTTAAGTATCACCATTTCAAAATTAAGGTTTGAAGTTTTAAATTTCAAAAATCAGGTTTTCATTAAAATTTATTTATAATTTAATTATGAAATAATAATTATTAAATTAATTTATTATTAATATTTAATTCTACTATAAAATAATTAATCCACCCCCACCTCCACCACCCC